TCTGCAGGCTGTACAGGAAGCATGGTGCTGGCATCTGCTCCTGGTGAGGGCCTTAGGGAACTTTCAATTGTGGCAGAAGGTGAGGGGTAGCCAGCATGTCACATGGTGAGGGAGGGAGCAAGAGAGAGGAGGAAGTGCCAGATTCCTTTAAACAACCAGCTGTCATGTGAACTGAGTGAGAACTCACTATGACTATGGGAAGTCACCATGCCTTTTATGATCCACTCCCTTGACCCAAACACCTCCAACGAGGCTCTGCCTCCAGTGTTGCAGATCACATTTCAACATGCGGTTTGGAGGACACAAATATCCTAATATATTACTGGTATTCCCCAGAAGAAATGCAAAGTGGTGCTAAGTATTTTCCTCTAATTATCTTCACAAAACTCTTAAAGGAAGAATTTTGGTTTGGGGGGAGAGAATAAAATGCGTAGAATGCCTTAGGTGGCCACTGGCAGGAGACACTAGCATATGAAAGTGGAGAGGAGAGGGAGAGGGAGAGGGAGAATGAGGGCAGGGGGCAAAAGAAAGACAAAGAAAGAGAACAGAAAATAAAGATCATTAAGTGTTCGCTTCTTTTTTTCCCTCACACAAAGGTATTTCCAATGCAGCAGTCATGCAATATAATGAAAGTTCAGGCATAGTTTAGAATTTAAAGGTATTGTACGAAAATATATTGTTATGAAATCCATGTTTTAGGTATTGCAAATGAATCCTCCCCTTACTGCTTGTATAAAGCTTCTTCTTGATTGAAAAAAAAAAAATGTTGTGTCCAAAATAGGTGTCTCTTTTGAATGTTGTTTACATGCTTGTATTTAGAAGATTACACATAGTAAAAAGAATTGAGAATAGAAAGAAAAGTGTGTACAGCAACTTATGCAATCATTCATTTAAAATATTTCTGAGAAAAACTATCCCAGCAGTGTACTAGCTTTTGGATTAACCCAGATTATCAAAATTTACTTCCTTCCCTCAGGGAGATCACAACTCCGTAATAGAAATAAACCTCTTTAACCTTTCTTGTTCTGTAACAGTTTGATTGAAATATAGTTCATATACCATACACTTCTTTTTAAAGTATACAATTCAGTGTTTCTAGTTCATTCACATAGGTGTGCAACTACTACCACAATAAACTAGGAAAATTTCACCACCCACTCCCCCACCAAAAAAAAAAATTCCAAACCCATTAGCAGTCACTCCCCAGAAACCACTAATCTACTTTCTGTCTCTATGAATTCACCTATTCTGGGTATCCCTCTAATACCAAAACCAAGAAAGAACATAACAACAAAAAGAGAACTGCAGGCCAACATTCCTGATGAACAAAGATGCAAAAATCCTTACCAAAATACTAACTAACTGAATCCAACAGTATATCAAAAAGATATTCCACTACAATCAACTTCATACCAGGGATGAAGGGATGATTGAACATATGCAAGTAAATAAATGTGATATACCACATAAAGAGAATTAAAAACAAAAATCACATGATCATCTCAATAGACTCAGAAAAAGCATTCGGTAAAATCCAGCATCCCCTCATGATCAAAACTCTTAGCAAAATCAGC